TTCCATTCAATCGGCTAAAAGAACCACTGCAGGGTTTTAATTTCAACCTTGTTTGTCATTGCACAAGGGTAAGTATACACTCTTCCGTCCGTGTTTGCTGCTAAATGTAATCTTGCACCAGTAAAAATGTTATTGGTGGAAGAGGGAATTCTCTATCCATTCATTTCCGCCACTGCTTGTCCTCATTCGGGTCACGGGTAAGCAGGAGCCCATGCCATCTGACTTTTGGGTCAGAAACGTGGTTCAACCAGGAGTGGTTGCCAGCCAATTGTAGGACACATTGAGACAAACAAGCATTGACGTTCACATTCACACCTATGGGCAATTCAGTCTTCGGTGAGCCTCACGTGTGTTTTTGGGGATGTTTGAGAAAGGTTGAGTACTCGGAGGAAACTGGGAACACATGCTAACGCCACACTGGAAAAACCAAGCCGAGGTTTGAACCCCAGAACTCAAATCTGTCATGCAGAGATGCTAACTACTCATTCACCGTGCTACCAGACTTAGAGTAGACTAGAGCAGGCTAAAACACGTGTCGAGGTGGCGGCCACGTTAGCGGGGGCGACAGTTCTATCAAAGGTCATAGAAAGCACGGACTTTGGCTTAGCATCTCTGTAAGCGTGCAGCTCAAAAAGATCACATCGTATCTACCCAGTCTATTCATATCGTTTCCTGTTTGTTTTTGTTTTTTTAACTCAGGTGCTAATCATATACATGTCTCTCGAACATGCTATTTTTGGTACAGTACTTGGTGGGGTTTTTTTGGGGGGGGTGTTGGTTTTTTGTTTGTTTGTTTGTTTTTTTATTCACCAGCAAAACGGGCATCCGTCAGAGACAGACTGACGGACCTTCTGGCAGTGCTGAAAAATCATCGTCGTACTAGTTTGTAAAATGTTCAACGTTCACCCCCGATTTGTAGAGTGTGTGCATCAACCAAGAAGTATGGTGGCCTTCAAGGGCGAATTGAATTTGGTCAAACTTCTCATCTTCAAAAATCCACTAGCATTATCGATATCAACAACGTGTAATATTGACCACCGTATGAGTGTGTGCCTCAGGTTTCATTAATGTACCAGTAATAGTCCTGCCTAACTCTCGTGTATTATAATTAAGTCTGTGATGGCAATTCATAATTATTATTGTGTATTTAATTAAACTGTGGTTTGCAATTGTGTGAGTACAGGATTCCACTACTCAGTTTGTTGGCAAAAATACATTTTGAAACCAATCTGTCGAAACGTAGACTCTTTTATCACTTCACTAATTACAAGTTGGGCGGCCTGGTGGTTCAATGGTTAGCGCGTCGACCTCACAGTGCAGAGGTTCAATTCCAGCTCCGGCCTCCCTGTGTGGAGTTTGCATGTTCTCCCCGCGCCTGCGTGGGTTTTCTCCGGGTACTCTGGTTTCCTCCCACATTCCAAAAACATCCATGACAGGCTAATTGAACACTCCAAATTGTCCTTAGGTGTGAGTGTGAGCGTCGATGGTTGTTCGTCTGTGTGTGCCCTGCGACTGGCTGGCAACCAGTTCAGGGTGTCCCCCGCCTACTGACCGAAGACAGCTGGGATAGGCTCCAGAACCAATGAATGAATAATTACAAGTTACAGTCTTCATCACATTCTGATTTGGGGGATGGGGGGGGGGGCTGTTCAATGTGTCATGTCATGCTTTTGTCCAAAAGCACTTTGACTTGAACTGACGCCACTGAAAGCTTTGGAAGTGTTGGGTTGCCATTAGACCTTTCACATTTTACATGCTTGCTGACAGACACTAGAAAAAAGAAAGGAGAAAAAAAAGCAACACTGTTGTTTTCCAGGGAAGGAAACAATGCATCTAAACAATCCCACAATGTGCTGCAGGGGCTGTTCTTTTCATCGTAGATAAGGGAGCGTTGAGCTGAAGCTTCCAGATGTGCTCTCTTGTTACAGAAGAAACAGCTCCGTGTGTCGCCATGTGGCCCAAAGCGGGTCAGTGGAACAAGCTGGGTGGATGGGGGGGGGGGGGGGGATAAAGCCTAGAAAGGAGTATGTCCTCTTCACGAAGACACAACTATCAATGGGTTGGAGTTCACAGCACAACTTGTCTCTGCTTGGTGTGGCCCTTGTGCTGCAAACGCACTTTGGAACACATGTAGTGACACACACACAAGGCCATGCTGGAAACTGCACATGGTAACTCTACCCTTGGTCCTTTCGGCCCTGTGGGTGGGATAGGTCACATGATAGTACCCTAGAGAAGCTCAGCTGTTTGCCACTCTAATTCTGTCTCAAGCAGCTGAGCACTGGCCCACTGCTCCACTGAACTGTCCCAGTAATTATAATAAGGGGGCGGGCGGGGCGGCGTGTGTCTTCGTGTGCACGGGTGAGGAGGGGGTTAAACATGACACACAAATCTTTTTCTGAACTGGATTGCCGCCTGCACACAAATATCGTGCCTACCGGCTCGGTCTTTGTACATGAAGTGACGTAAAGGGTGAAGTGCGCAACAACAAAAGAAAAGAAGCGAGCAAACAGGAACAGGATACCTGATAAACGAAGAGGAAATGTAACGGAAATGCGCCATTGTGTCACTGCAGTCAAATGATAAGGCCGTTTAGAAATCATATTGGTGTTTTATGAACACCTCTAATAACATGATTCAATATACAAAGTGCATAAATGCATAGTAGAGTGGGACAGTACAGATAACACACGGTACGGTCCATACGTTGGGGACACAGTTCGGTACAATTTCCGTATGCGTTTTGTGCACAAAGAGAATAAATATTTTCCCCTGTCTGAATTAAATCTCTTTATTTTTGCTTGTTTGAAATATCTTAACAGTAGGAACTGTATTCTTAAAAAAATACTACATATATAAATAAACAATAGGAACTCCATTCTTAAAAAATATGTATTTAAAAAAAAAAAATGGGAGAGGAGCTGCATATTATCCAAACACGTGCACAGACGACAGCGCGTGTGTGGGATAAGGCCCATGTCGTTCTTGTGCACGTTCCCCATCATCAAGTGCAGAATGTCAATTAGTTGAACTCACTCGCCAAGTCCTCTGCGTCTCCTCGAGGTTTAATGGCACCGGTCTGTCTCAATGATTTCCAATTATAGACGACAGCAGGCAGAATTGTGCTGAGGGGGGGGAATGGCAAAAGGAAGTTTTGAATCACTGTGTTTCATCGACAAAATGGCCTTGTTCTTTGCAAGAGCGCTCTTCTCTTTTAAACACATACACCACCAGCGTTGTTATGCTCCATGTTAAGAGTGGCTTATTGTTCTCCAATTTAGAGGACACAATATCCCGGCCCGGTAATAGAGCTTAGATTAATTGCTGACAAATCTGTATTCAGCAGTTCCTTTTTTCTCTGCGTGACAGATTTATGACAGAGATTGATGAAGGGGAGGGCCAGCCCTGAGCTTGCCTCTGTTTCACTGAGAAAGGACCTCCACAGCTCACTGGGTCCAACATTGAACAAGAGGCAAATAAGATTAATTTGGATGGAGGCAGCAGTGTTGTCTTCTGAGCCCGGTAGAATAAAGTTGATGCTGTGTGACGTCACGAATACGTGTCATCACCGTGAAAGCAAAGCAAGAAGCAGAAGTCGGATGTTTATGATCATGACACAGCCCAACAATCGCTTTCAAGTGAGGTGAAATCTTTTTTTTTTTTTTTTTCATAGATACATAAATAGATCGATGGCGAGTATGCAAGGGGCTTGCAGCAACAAGAGTGTCAATCACGTCACTTCGCCGGTGTCTGTTTAAACTCAAGAGGTGAAAAGCCATCCAAAATGTCCCGCGCACCCCACTCCTCCGCCGTGATGTCACCGCCAACTTCACATGTAATTGGACGAGGCCACAGCCCCGCCAGCTGTTTGTAATCATCAGTATTGGGAGTGGGGATCACATGACACCCTCGGGCTTGGCGGCGTGCACATTTAGATATACATAAAGGGTGCCGTGCATCTTTAACCCGGTAGGCCTGCCTGCCTTCCCACAGGCTATTCCTCGGCAGCGAGGATCACCTCCAGATGTGCACAATGCTCTCACCTCAAGGATCAAATGTGGGGGAGGGCGGGCGCCACAAGGAGCAAGGAGGGAAGCAGATGGAAGGAGATCTTGCAGTTTAGGTCGGCGAGAAATGGACACGATCGGAACGATGACCTCCCAGTCTGTGGACAAAATGTTCTTGAAAGGATTGCGGCTGCCCCCTAGCGGGGCGGAAAAAAACTGAACTATATTAAAACTCGATTCCCCCTGTTCGTCTTCTCGAATCTCGATTAAAAAAATAGAGTGACTGTCTTAAAGTGTATTATTTCCTTGTCAACTTGGTTTACACAATTATATTTCTCTAAAAGCTAAGTTTATTTTCATATGTCAGTGTTCCTTTTTTTTTTTTTACAGCATGTTTTCGAACACAAAGTTCCGTATTATTTTATCTTGTTCAGCAAGCGCTCAAACATAAAGGGCCAAATCTACAAAGAATGAACTGCGGCGTTACAGTATGGGCACGTGTGTCCAGTCGGTACAGAAATCACCAATGCATCCTTCTACTTAAAACGTCCTACTTTCATGATATGATATCAGGGTCACGGGCGTGCTGGAGCCGATCGGTCACAGCTGTCATCAGGCAGTAGGCGGGGTGCATCCTGAACTGGTCGCCAGTCAATTGCAGGGCACACGTAGACGAACAAACATTCGCACTCACAATCACACCTCGGAACAATTTTGAGTGTTTCATTATCCTGCCATGCATGTTTTTGGAATGTGGGAGGAAACCGGAGTACCCGGAGAAAACCCACGCTGGCCCGGGAAGAACATGCAAACTCCACACAGGAAGGCCGGAGCTGCAATCGAACCCGGTACCTCTGCACTGTGAGGCGGACTTGCAAACCAGTCATACACTTTGCTGCCTCAAAGTGAAATCAGTTGACAAAAAATTATGACTTAAGGTACTTAAAATCAACTCTTTTTTTTTTCTTTAGCCAAACGGGATTTTTTTGTGTTATACTTTATTTTTCTTTTTACATCATCCAAAAACCAACATTACATATATGTACATATAAAAACATGTAGTTTATTCTAAGACATTCTTTGAGTGTTTGAAAGTAGAGAGAGCACTCGCTCTATATGGCTCCATTTCAACTGCAGGACACTCGCTCATCTCCCTGAAAACTTCACTCGACCTTGAAGCTTGGTCGCATGTTAAGCAGAGGGCCACAGTGCACAGCTTTACTACACGCGCTCATCAGCAGGTCATCTTCTCTACTGTACTGTCATATATGCTGAAAAAGAAGAGTCCGGTTAATTGTGACAAGATTTAGTTTGCGATGCTCGAAAACAATCAATAATGATGCTACGGGAGGTGGTGGGAGTTCGACTGTATACGATCTCCAGTAGCGTACATCTGATGACATTCTGCTGCATATCAGCCATACATTCACTAATACATTATCGTGTTGTCAAATCAGGATACATAACACACGAGTAAAAGAAATATGCTCGGAGCACACATCACCGAACAGTTTGCTTTGGCGTGTGATTGTTTTCAAAATATTTATATTCACATTTATATATACATCACTATTTTCTCATTCAATTTCAACTCAGACTTGGCTTTGAATATACGTACTGTACAGTAGTGTGAGTATTACAGCATACCATCAATTAGCTCAGCTATCGGTCCGCCTCGTACAGTAGACAACACAGAATATTAACATTCCAATGTTTCAACATATACTTAAAGTACAGGACGTGAATAGACAAAAACTATCGTACAGGCCAAGAAGAAAGTGTCACAACATGACGACACGATACAGTGAGAGGTTACTGGGCCGATGTACTGCAATCTGTAAGATTAAATACACAGTGCAAAAGACCAAAAAAAAAATAACGTTTCCTACTTACAGGAGAATTAAAAGCAGATTCTAAGACACATAACATCATTTTCACATTACTCTTCTAGCGTATTGAATTCACGGTCATTTTGAGGCAGAGAAATGCCTCGATCAGCTTTTCGATGAAGCCACCGAGCATCTCGAGCTATATACAGAGAATCAGGAGAACAGGTTGGAATATCATTAGCGAAAATAAATCATTACAATAAGAGTCATTTTGTTTCATGGATCTCTTGAAAATAAAAATGAAACGTCATATTATTATAAATAAAGTGTTAAGTCTGAGCGCGGATCAAGTATGACCTCACCTTTACACGAAGTGCATGTGATTGAAGAATTAGTGTGATGGATGAAAATGCGCCTCTGTTCAAGTGTGGACTTATTTCAGAATGTAATTAAAAATGTCACTCAAGGGACCCCTGATTAACAAAAACGTATTATTAATTGCGATCCTTGCAGTTCAGTCAAGATGGACTTTGAGTAAATTATTGCTTATATAATCCACCAACCCCCTCCACTCCCACCTCATCAAAAATAAAGCAAAAGTAATGCTCTGCAACTCGAAGCCTCCAACACATCCAAAATCCTCTCAACCAAAGTGCCTTGCGGGAGTTTTAACAAGCTTGTCTGAGGCACAGACATAAAATATACTTTTGGCTGTTTTCATCAATGCCAAGTGTGTAATATTCAGGCGACACAAAACGGACATGTAGGGTTAAAGTGACGCACAGTAATTATACTTTTATTTTTAATCTACTTCTAAAAAATCGATTCAAATAATAATTAATTGGAATCTTCTGACCCTCACAGCTATGCAATTACAGAATGGCCAAATATATAAGTTTGTGGAGTGTGGACGTGTTGTATTTAAGAATCCACTCATGCATAAAGCTGGGAATGCGTCTCGCTGTGCTTCACCTTTGTACAATTTCATTCATGTCGTGTCTGTACACTAAAATCTGCCGTGCGAAAGTGCGAAACACTCTGGTGAAGTCCCAACTTTATCGTCAACACTCCGGATTTTCTAGGACGACGATGCATCGAGATCAACGGTTCTAATGGAAAGCGAAGCACTTGGATAAAAACGTACTTTTTTTTTTTCAATTTTTACAAATATAAAATTACCATCAAAATAAATTACTCTATTAATATTGACACAAGACTTAAAAGTAATCTTAAAATGCATGAAGTTAAGTGCGGATTCCGACACTAACCAATCAGTCGACTAGTCATTGTCTTTTGCTTTATTTGTCAGGTTAGCAGGATCAGGCAAAAACTACCCATTTCCCTCAAATTGTTAGAGGTGGCACAGTGGCCAAAGAAGACCCAATTTGTTTTTACATCCAGATAAATGTTGCAGACATGTCATTGTTTTCATTGACTTTCACTTCTGGTTAGTGGGAACATGTTCTTCACTCTAAACAGAAAAGACTGGGCCCACTTTGAATTCTCTTGCTGTCAGCCTGCTTTAAAACTCGTTCTACCTGGATGGCTGTGTTCCTGTGTGTGTATGTGTGTTGTGTGGCGCTCGTAGTGATTCCAGAGACTTTCCCAAATCGCTCCGGTGGCCAACGGTCCCAAACAGACAAATCACATCCCGGGGGTCCAGCTCGACAGTTAACTGCCCGTGGCACAGTTGCGTGCACTGTAGGAATCTTTACTCATCAATGAAGGCGAGCTCTTCAATCCTACAAAAGCAAACAAATCAGGTTTAGAGAACAGTGTGCACAGTTCAGCTGAGGAGCTGAGAAAATAACAGTGGGGGAAGAGACAGGGAACAGAGTGAGTGCAGTGAGAGCGTTTCCACGCAGGGTCTCGCCTTGCCTTCTTAGCGGAAACAGGACGAGAGTCCTTTTGATTGGAGCTGAGAGATTTCCACATGGTGGTTTTAGACATTTCGTCAGATATATTAATATCAGAGGGATCACACCTGGGGAGCGAGGAGGTGAGAAGGAGAGAAGAAGCTCAAAATCGATGTTGGGAGAGGGAGTGGTAAGTGTCACAGTGTTAAGTACAAAGAGGGTGCACCCAAAAACATAGCAACGTATTGTACATGACACACAGGAAAGGAAAGGCAATTAGGACAAGACTGTGTCCACATAAACATGGATGAGACATTTATATTTGTTATTTTTTTAGAATCATACATAGATCACATTTGCCCGTTGCATACCAAAGAAACAGGTGGCGCTCTCACCCCATGCTGCAAAGCCATTTTTAGCATTTAGCTTGGAGAAAACCCATCATCGAAAAAAGGCTCGCTAGCAATATGAATTTGAAGACAAGCTAAATAACAGATGTGGAATGACGTGAATATCACACGAGAATTTTTTTTTAAATTATGCCTTAAAGAGCACTGAGTACATTTTACATCATTTTTTCCCCCTTTTCTTTTTGATAGCTTTGCGAACAAAGACTTTTCCTTCTGATGAAGATGATTCACCTGTGTGTCAAACTGCCACAGTATAGAGCCAACTACTGCTGAGGAGGACTATCTGATTTTTTTATTTTTATTTTTTTGCCTTAAGTATCGATGGTTAGTATCGGCATTCTCCACGATACCTTAAAATAAGGCCGGTATCGACCCGATAACCATGCTCACCTGGGGTCATGGGCCTTTGAGCCCTGCACTGGTTTACTGCTCTCCAGGGGAATGTGAACAATTGGAGCGTCTTCACTTTTTGTACTGAGCATAACTTCCGACTCCTGCATCAACATGCACAGATCAATATTTGTATCTATTTTTGTGTTTCAACAGAGCATTTACATTTTGCATTTCAACTACCTCCTCAATCTTTTTGGAAGCATCATCGAGGTTTTTTTTCTTCCATTCCGGCATTAGATCATCCAGGTAGCTGAGCTCCCGATTGGAGAAACACAGGTCCAGCAGTTTGCGGATGAATACCAGAGCCAACACCTGCAGAAATAGAGCAGGAAAAACATGTGGTTTGAGTAGAAAGGAACTGAGAAAACAATAAGAGTATTTCTCTATTCCGTCCATCGTGAGTAGTCAGCTCACCATCATGGGGAAGACGATAGCAGCGGGTGAGGTCTTGATGACCCAGAGAAGCACGAGACAGGTCAGCTGTGTGAGCGTAAACAGATGAACCTTCCTCAAGGGCACGTGACGCAGGTAGATGAAGTCTGGCTGGTGCTTGGCCGGCATCCCAAACAACTTCAGACGGTCAAAGAACTGTGGCCAAGCAATGAGGTTTTTACATGCATGAGTGCAAGCCATATGCCAGTTTTTGTGCAAAAACATTGTTGAACGCATTCAACATTTCTTTGCGAGAAGAAAAATTGTTTGCGACCATTAAAACTGTTGGCGAATGTCAGGCAAACGTCTTTGCGATATTTGCGATCTTGAACGAACCCAGACGAAAAAAAATCAACATTCGGGCTGTGTGCAAACAGCGAACATTCACCGCTCAGTGAGATATGAGTTAAATTTGTTCCAGGACCACACTTGTGCCTCAAAACACTCTTATCTCAAATCGTCTCTCCTTATTGAAATGAATGGAAATTAGAATGATCCATTTGCCCCCCAGCCCCCCCACCAAAAACCTTTGTTAGTGTTCTTAATAAGTAGAAATAACACTCAATAATATTGTACTTTATACGGAAAATGTAGATTAATAACATAAATAAATGGAAAGAGTTAAACAGTTTTGCGTCATGTTTTAATGTAACTCCTTCTGGTGTGTCCACCTTTGCCACTAGGAGGCAGTATAGTACAGTCAAATAAATGGAGAAGAATTCTATTTCTATTATTCTCTTACTAAAAGTGAAATTCTGTCATATTTTTCATTTTAAATGAGTTGCTCCACTGTTTGTGTTCAAACATAAACATTTTTTTAGCATTAGCGATAGCGTTTTGCATGGTCTGTTTTTGCCATAGTCTGAATTTGTGTAGATGATCCACTTCGACGACAGGTGTACCTAATGAGGTGTTCGCTGAGTGTATATGTCACATAACACCTTACCTGGATGCCCTTCAAGGATGAGGCTCCCATGTAGAGGAAGACACCATATAACACAGGCATCGGAATGAACTGAAGAAAAGATATTCATCAAATCTTAGTCAAGTAATGCTCTGGCTGAAATGTATGTGCCAACCAGAGGGTGGCAGGACTTACCTGAAGGGCGCCAGTCATGAATACAGAGCATCCCATAAGCAAGAAGATGACCAGGCCAGTGAGCCTCTGCTCTCTGATGCCCAGAAAACGAGGCTGCTCTCCTGGAGCTGAGCTTTCCGACTCCAGCTTCAAACTGTTCACGTGAGTGATGGACAAGACAGTTGCGGCGACAAACCACGGCAAACCCATGACGGAGCACACGGCCAGCATCATCCCCACCATCAGGAGGTCCAAGTGGTACCCGCAACCTTTCTGGGAAACAAATAGAGGAGCATTTAAAGTCAAATGTTTTTGAGGTCTTTGGCTCAATTTTAAACTTCAGGGTTTCGAAATTGACAAGCATTACGTCACAAGAATCGTCATAATGTCACGCAGGGCCTCAGCATACCTTACATGGGATCAGCTGAGTCGAGATCAAAAATTAAGATGTGTGTAGGTAATAGCTTTAGCTTTTTGAAACAGTTTTTTACAAAAGTAGTATATTCAAAAGTGTGAAGCGAGAAGAGAAGACTATGGACCAAAATGTACATTTAATAAGCAGCTTTGCCGGCCAAATCAAACGGAGCTCCCGGGCTGCTTTCCAACTTGCTAAAATAGGTTGCAGAATGAAGACCTAAAAAAAAATAAAATAAAATAAACTGCTCATAATTTTTTTCTGCAGCAATGCATGGTAACTTATTTTTACACTTTGCATGGCCGCTGATAAAGTAATAATACTTACATTTAATAAAGCTTTTATCACGGTGACAATTTATTTCCATTTCCATTATTCCCAATGGGAAAATGAGAAAAAAAAACAGTTTTGAACAAATCTGGACTTGAGGTTCCACTGTATGCGTAAATGGGATTGGTCGGTCAACAACAGTCATGATCAAATACCAGCAGTTTGTGCTCTTTCCGGTTGATGATGACAGCGGTTATCTGTTGGTCCATGAAGATGAGGATGGTGCAGAGAAGAGCAGGGATAGAGGCTGCCAGGAGCGTCCACCAGGGGTTGCGTCCGATTGGGCTGATCAGCCACCCTCTGTCATCTCTGGTGGGCTAACAGAGAAACACACACACAAGCTGCAAATATAATCCCCATCGAATCTTATTTTCAGGAATGTGAACACCCTCCACAATTTACCTGGAATTTGCTGGGCACCTTTAACTTCTGGGAGGGTACTCCTATGATGTAGTCGAGCAATACCATGACGACAATGGTGAGGAAGACGGCAAAGTCACTGATCATGGATCGCACCTGATTGCATACGGAAAGACCCCTCAAAGGAATGCGGTGACTAATCTGCGCCTATGCCTAAATCTGATGAATAGAATTTAGTGCGCGCACGTGCGTGTGCATGTGCAGCCCCCATCGTCGTTTTGCGGATTACCTTGGTGGGGAAGTAGCGACTCGTTTTGAACTGTTTGAGGAATGCTGACATGAAGAAAGTGGAGAAGAACAAGATGACGGACCAGAACAGGACATCGGGGGTGTAGGGGCCATGATGGCCACACGACGTCCCTACAAAGTCCCCCTGCAGACTCACGCATTCCTGTAGAACGAGGACAAGTTTGTCTCAAGGTTGTTTGAGCAAAGACTTCTGCAAGGAACTGAGTTGCTCCTGAGGGGCGGGGAAATTCGTGAAACAGCAGCTGCGGTGAGTGAATGAGTGAGTGAATGAGTGACCGAAGGAGCGCCGTTATGGCCCATTGAGTGTTCCCAAGACAAACTTTGGTTGTGCCCGGTGAAGAAAAGCTAATCGATGAAATGTCTTTTATCAGCGTTAACCTTCAGAGAGGTTAGGATAGGTTGCTTGCTAACAAATGCATTTTCTGCTTCTTAGTGTGTATTTGCGTGTGTGTGTGTGTTGATATACTTTGACCCGATGAAGTTACCTTGACAGTAAGATTGGCCCAAGGAACAGAAGAAGCTGTGATGTTTCTCTCGCTCCACAGTTTTAAAGTTTTATTGCTCGGACTATCAGGCTCTGCACACCGGCAGCTAAAGTCAGAGAGAGCACAATAACAATAAGAATCATGTACAGTGGAAGCTCTTGAGGTTGAACACAATCTGTTCCAGGATGCTGGTCAAATTGAATTAAAAAAAAAAAAATCCATAGCAAATAAAAGGAATAGAAAGTATAGTATTGATAGTATAAAAGTTGTTATGGGCAATGTTTCAAGTGAAAGTGAAAATTGAAGTTAGCCACTTCTAATACAGAAATGATGTCAACGGGTCACGTTTCAAATGCACCTCACACACACCTCTCTCTTTTTTTACTGCTTCTCGTTGTCACACAAACAAGTGTAAAAAGAAGTTGAGCACTGTTGGTTCAAAGGGGTCAAAACAAAAACAAAAAATTACTCAATGCTAACAAGCTAGGTTGCATATGAATGTGAGCATGCTCACCTAATTTCTGAGCTACAATTCTACCACTTATCTTTCTGTAAGCGTAAAGAATCCTCAATAGACTCGTCTAATGTCACACCTGACAGCTGCTCTCACTTTTCAAAGAAGGTGCACCCTCTTGCTCCCGTGCAATTTTACTTCTACTTCTACATCTGTCAGTTTGTTAGCAATTCTGAAAATTCTGCCAAGAGAAAAACAACCACAAACTGTGTTCCTCACTATGCTAGCGTCAGCTTGTCCAGATCACTGTGAGCGTTGATGGGGTAGATTTCTCCCAGGTGGCACAGCTTCTCCAAGGCCTCGTAGATGAAGATGATGCAGATGAGGGCAGCAAAGGCCTCCTCCGTGAAGCGAGTGATGTAGCACACCAGAGAGCTCGCGTCTGTAGCCACGAGCAACAGACACAACAGCGCCGTCCACAGGCCAATACAGGCCCTTAGCGACAGGTAGGACAGGTTGTAGTCCCTAAAGAATCAAACGAACAACACATATCAGGCAGAGCATACCCAAAAAAAAATAAAAATGTGACTAAGAACTGCGCTAATTTGATACAGACTTGCAGAATTTAAAGAGGATTTTCTCAAACACCAACACGGGTCCTGTGCTACCCAGAATCGTGAGAGGCTGGCCGGCAAACAGCGAGTAGGCTACTCCAGTCATGGATGCACCAAGTAAGGACTCAATGGCACTCTGGAAATATGTATAATATGTATTAACATTTTTGTTTTTTGTTGTTGGGTTGTTTTTTTTTTTTATTGTAGCGCACAAAAATTAGAAATATGTGTTTCTGTGCAGACATTCTGTGCAAGTGTTTTTGCCCTTTAGGATAGGTTGCTTGCTAACAAATGCATTTTCTGCTTCTTAGTGTGTATTTGCGTGTGTGTGTGTGTTGATATACTTTGACCCGATGAAGTTACCTTGACAGTAAGATTGGCCCAAGGAACAGAAGAAGCTGTGATGTTTCTCTCGCTCCACAGTTTTAAAGTTTTATTGCTCGGACTATCAGGCTCTGCACACCGGCAGCTAAAGTCAGAGAGAGCACAATAACAATAAGAATCATGTACAGTGGAAGCTCTTGAGGTTGAACACAATCTGTTCCAGGATGCTGGTCAAATTGAATTAAAAAAAAAAAAATCCATAGCAAATAAAAGGAATAGAAAGTATAGTATTGATAGTATAAAAGTTGTTATGGGCAATGTTTCAAGTGAAAGTGAAAATTGAAGTTAGCCACTTCTAATACAGAAATGATGTCAACGGGTCACGTTTCAAATGCACCTCACACACACCTCTCTCTTTTTTTACTGCTTCTCGTTGTCACACAAACAAGTGTAAAAAGAAGTTGAGCACTGTTGGTTCAAAGGGGTCAAAACAAAAACAAAAAATTACTCAATGCTAACAAGCTAGGTTGCATATGAATGTGAGCATGCTCACCTAATTTCTGAGCTACAATTCTACCACTTATCTTTCTGTAAGCGTAAAGAATCCTCAATAGACTCGTCTAATGTCACACCTGACAGCTGCTCTCACTTTTCAAAGAAGGTGCACCCTCTTGCTCCCGTGCAATTTTACTTCTACTTCTACATCTGTCAGTTTGTTAGCAATTCTGAAAATTCTGCCAAGAGAAAAACAACCACAAACTGTGTTCCTCACTATGCTAGCGTCAGCTTGTCCAGATCACTGTGAGCGTTGATGGGGTAGATTTCTCCCAGGTGGCACAGCTTCTCCAAGGCCTCGTAGATGAAGATGATGCAGATGAGGGCAGCAAAGGCCTCCTCCGTGAAGCGAGTGATGTAGCACACCAGAGAGCTCGCGTCTGTAGCCACGAGCAACAGACACAACAGCGCCGTCCACAGGCCAATACAGGCCCTTAGCGACAGGTAGGACAGGTTGTAGTCCCTAAAGAATCAAACGAACAACACATATCAGGCAGAGCATACCCAAAAAAAAATAAAAATGTGACTAAGAACTGCGCTAATTTGATACAGACTTGCAGAATTTAAAGAGGATTTTCTCAAACACCAACACGGGTCCTGTGCTACCCAGAATCGTGAGAGGCTGGCCGGCAAACAGCGAGTAGGCTACTCCAGTCATGGATGCACCAAGTAAGGACTCAATGGCACTCTGGAAATATGTATAATATGTATTAACATTTTTGTTTTTTGTTGTTGGGTTGTTTTTTTTTTTTATTGTAGCGCACAAAAATTAGAAATATGTGTTTCTGTGCAGACATTCTGTGCAAGTGTTTTTGCCCTTACAATGCGTCCCTCTGTTGCCTCTCCGAGCAGCCCCCCAAAGGTGATGACAGGAGACATACAGGCACAGTAGAGGAAGAGGAACGAGGCCACACACTGCAGGCTCAGACCATCTTTATAGTCACTCAGATAGAACGGAGCCTTCCTTTTGATGTCCATTATCAGACCGCCGAATAACCTGGTCACAACACAAAGGGAACAAAGTGCACAGAGAGAACATTATGCCGGCAACATACATCATCATTTGTTCTCTCCAAGACCTCTTAAGACCTTTTGACGACACTATACGGACAAAACTAATGGGACATGCGGTCATTACAATGGCAGATAGGGAAAATGTGACTCTTCTGAGGAAGAAAATTCTGAAGATTGTACAAGCTTCTGGAGTGTCTCTGTGGGAATCGTTTAGTTTTGAGTGAAACCCAAAGGCGGTAAGCGCGCCTTTTGGGATCTCGCTTCGTGCGTTGGGACACAGCCATGCCGGAACAGAACGATACCTTCCGCCCACTGTTTACACGCAGTTAGAAGCATAGTGATGTGGGATTAAAGGGTGTGTCCCACGATATTATCTAAAGGTTGATGATTTGAAAATTATTCTGACTGCTATCGCTACTGGGGAAACGCAAATGAAAAATATCATTTGCGTAACACAGTGAGGTTTATCTGGCAGACATGAATTCACCTTCCGGTTCTCTGCAGCTCGGGTCCATGGTGTTCTGCATGTTGCTCTTCCTCTACTTGGTAAACTGTGCCATTTGGGACGCCGGGCATTTTCCGCTTCTCCTTCAATCACATCAAATCAAGGTCAGCTATCTTCAGCATATTGCGATTGTAGTTCACCAATCAAAGCGGGAAAAAAAACCCCACAGTGTACCTGAGATGGGACATTTTTGGGTGGCTCAATACGGATAGAAGGGTCCCACTCCCCTGGTGGCAAGACAGTCACCTGGTCCAGGAACTCATCTATCCCAGCCAGGAGGTCACTTCTGTCCTTTGCCTTGTAAGCTACACCGTGGAAGATCTGGAGAAAAGACACGACGCATGTCGGCTGTGTCAGAGTTCTTCAGCCTGAACAGAGGGATTGTTTTGAAGGCCAACCTCATCCGTCATAATGGTTGCCATGGAGCGTCCGATCTCATGGTACTGCTGAGCTTTTCCATCTGGGCCCAGGAGAATGAAAAGGAACCTAAAGGGATGAGTTGACAGCTTCAACTATATCATGTCCACACTATACTGAATGTACACCATTGGAAGTGTTGTTCATTTGAGTGTCACAAGGCGTTGCTCTCAACCTGGTGGGTATCGGGACCTCGGTGAGGCCAGTGAGCAGTACAGCGGGGGAGAGGCGAACAAAAGCCACAATAGGCCTCTCCAGGAAGTCCAGCTCTCCGACCAACACGTTTGAGGCCTCTGCTCCCTCTGGGATCTTCTTCATGAAGTGGAGGTCCACCTGATAAATGACAGTTGGGTGGAAATTGTTTTCAGTGACGTGCCCTTTCATCGTGGTATCATACATAGTTTTTTTTTTCCGACGTGAAAGCTCCTTTATATCATTTTTTTCCTTTTAACTTTCACAGGATTCATTTGATTGTTGACAAGACGGCAAAACAGATGAGCTGCAGATGAATAATTTTCATTTTTAAAATGTGGACCTCGTAGTTTCTATTCACATACTGTATATGCAAACAAGTGCTGGGACACACGAAAGAATACAGTGTATATGAACTTAGCACTCATGGAGGACGTGACCATTCAAAAAAAAAAAAAAAAGCTCTAAATCACTGGTGTCAAAGTCAAGGCCCAGGGGCCAGATCTGGCCTGCTACATCATTTTTTTGTGGCCCGCGAGAGTAAATCAATCATGTCAAGTCCCATGATGCTTGCTAAAGTCTGGACCAAAATTTCAAATTGTCATATGTAATCCACAATAACAGTCATTATTCTTGAATTCTGATTTTAAAACTAGTTATTCATTAATTTGTTGCGCGCTGTGTATGTAATATGTGGAGGGGATTCAACATTTATATGGTTTCCCAAAATTCAGAACGGTCCTCCAAGGGAAACCGTAACTAAACTGTAACTACAATTTGGCCTGTGACAAAAATGAGTTTGACACCTCTGTTCTAAATGCTATTTTACCTTGCTGAGGTCCACTTGAGAACTGTAACTACAATGTGGCCTGTGACAAAAATGAGTTTGACACCTCTGCTCTAAATGCTATTTTACCTTGCTGAGGTCCACTTGATGCCCTTCCGGTCCTGCGCCGTTCTTAGGTGGCTCTGTAAGGGGTGCAGGCTGAGGAGATGTGGCTGACACAGCTGCGTGCGCACAACAAGCGAAGAGAAAGTCAAACTGAATTCACCTTTTTGTACTAACCATTCCAAAAACAGTAAAAATATACAAAAATTAATTAATTGATTTAAATTAAAATAAATACCCAAACCCCAAAACCTCAAGCCTAAAATAAGGAAAGAAAATACATACAAAAATATAGAAACAATTTTGGTTACCCATTCTGTTAATTTTGAGAAGTTTTGACAGTACTTTGGATGGTACTTTATGAAATTGTGATGGAGTGCATGATATGTCTATACATATGAATTCAGCCAGATGTCGACAATAATAAGGATAACTCAAGTGAAAACGGTCTCTTGAATGATGAAAAAATAACATATCTTTACAAAGAACCATAGATTTAAATCGACATTTTTGACCGATGTTGATATCTCAACGACCGTTACAAACGCAGTAAATTTTTATTCAATGAAACTTGTTTGCAGTTTTGTGCTCACAAAAACATTCTTTGGTGGCCGACACTTGCAATGGCTGACTATAAATCAAATGTACAAAAAAGAAAAAAAAAACCTGTTAAGTGAAGCTCGGACTGTTTGCGAGTCCCCTCTGTGATGGAGCGCACGATGGGCATGAGGTTCTTCTTCTTCTCATTCTGGTGGTGGTGCCGCTTGAGCAAGGCCTCTCGCACTTTCACCCTCACGCTGTCGTCCAACTCATGAGACGCTTCCTGATGATCCAGAACCATGTCTGTGACACGCACAGAAAAAAAGACGCGAGAATGCAAAGCTTGCCTTAACTTGAGATATAAATCCTCTAACAAGAAGTTATTTCTTTAATTTCTGTTGCTGGTGTTATATTTCTCAAGACGTTGTTCAATAATGAAACTGTCCAACCAATCACCAGCACATCTTGATCTTATTGCCTCGTCTTCCACTTTGTCTTTTCCAAGATGCTGAGTCATTAAGCCAACTTATTTAGTGCTGTCAGACAGTCTGCATGTGCACACACGCACGCACACATTCCACATTAAGTCTGAGCACATCTCAAGGCCAGTGCTGACTTGTTGAGTTCAATGCCAGTATAATAATAAGCCCTGCTAATTGGACCGCCACCACATAGACGTCTGAAACATGGCTGAAAATACACCACGGTTCACACCTAAATTTGTTATTGTTGTTGTGATTTCCTCGGAATGTTGTCAAAGCGATCTTACGAAACTGCAAACACTTGAAGTGGAGTGTAGAAATAATGTGTTGCATCTTCATGCCGGTTAATTGTTTCCGACCTTGTTAAATCATTGTTGATAAGTATTGCGACAAATAATTAAGATGAACAGTGTCTTCACCGGAGAATGGGTGTGGATGTGTACGTGTGTGTGTGTGTGTGTGTGTGTGTGTGTGTGTGTGTGTGTGTGTGTGTGTGTGTGTGTGTGTGTGTGTGTGTGTGTGTGTATGTGTGTGCGTGTGCCTGGATAACTAGACAGTGGTCATTCAGTCACAAGCACTTAGTTAATGATATACAGTGGTACCTCTACTGACAAAATTAATTGGTTCTGGAAGAAATTTCGTAACTAGAAAATTTTTTAAGTAGAGACGCGTTTTCCATGGAAATGCCCTAATCCGTTCCAGGCCCCCCCCAAAAATCAGACATAAGTGTTTCATGAAGCATAAAAATGCATTAAAATGTGTCATAAATACATGCTACAATTAGATTATTTCACAATAAATGTGAGTTGTGCATAATGTAAAAAACAAAGAATGCAGTAAAGAATTAAAATGGTCATTTAACTTTTAACTGCATCCTCATCGTTTTTTGCCCTCCTTAGTCCATGTTCTCTCTCAGAAGTGTTTTTTTTTCCTGGTGTTTTGTAAAGAACTGAGCAAAGTATGTCTGCTTTTGTCGGCTTTTAACAATCCTTCGAAAATGTCCAAGGCCAACATCAGCATAGTTAGCGATCGCCCGACTGGTGAACGCTTTTTCTGGGTGGTTCACAGTTACGTAAAACTATCGTAAAGCCTCATGGCCCGTGGGGTGAATAACGAGGATGCTGCAAAGACACAACATCTATTTATCTATCTACACACATTGACACATATGGTAGAGGTCCCTCTTAGCCAATGGGATGCCAGGATGATGCTTGGTAACACCCAATGGCAGAGCAGCTATAAGTATGTTGCGTTCAGGAAACTTGGAGCTTCGAGGAGCAACCCATACTGTATTTTTACCTTTCGTATCTTGAAATTTCTTTCGTAACAAGAGGCAATATTTTCCTGTTGAGGCCTTTCATAACTTGAAATTTTCATATGAAGAGACGTTCGTAAATAGCGGTACGACTATATTTGTACTAGTATATTTAAAGTAGCTGTCGGGTACGGAGAAAGGAGTCCATTTTGGATGAATTTCAAATGGAGTCGTCATATTTATGCGCACCTGCGATCTCCTCAATGCAGTCAGCGTGCATGTCAAGCAAAACGCTCCCATTGATGATGCAACTCCTCAACTCAAAGAGACTGTGGAGGGACAGCGTAGCCACGTACGGCTTGCTCCACCTCTCGCCGCCATCCTCCACATCTTCCTCAAACTTTAGCCACCTGAAGAAAGACAAAGAGGACATCGGTGAAACCAAGACACAGTTTAGACAAGGTGATTAAACAAATGAGAAGCACATCACAAAGCATATTGAGAGGGCCTGTTTTTGAAAGACGGTCTTTTATAGACTGATAAAGATGTCATCTGCCAAAACATAAACCAATAGCTAAATATTTGAAATCCTCTATGTGAGAGAGCACTTGAGCTCTTCCTGGTCAAGAAATGCTCTCGTAGGCTCTAATTGTGAATTTGCGTCTCTGCCCGAGCAGCCAGAAGCTTTTATTAGCAGGTTTTGTTACCAATGGATCCCAGGGGAAAATACTGACCTGGCTGTTTCCTTCCACTCAGCATCTTTGCCATCTTTCACACAGATCTCATCCAGCTCTGTGAACAACTCGTGGGCCACATGCTCAGCATCTTCCTCAGTTCCCAGAATGAACTGCACCCGCTGGGACGGCGTGTCTGATAAAGTGACAACACGTGAGTCACAATTTTGCCTCTCTATGAAATGAGATGACTTGTCACACTTTTGCAGTGTTTATGGGTAGGTTTTTGTGCCAAAATATTTAGAATTGTATCCTACAGTGTGTAATTCCACGGAGAAAATGTGTTTTCTGCGCGTACCGTGACAGGGTGTCTTCTCGTTTCCTTGGCTTTCTCGCACTGTAATGCTTCCCGTCCTCCTGTCTTTCTTACGATGCCGAGAGCCATGAGGCTTGTGGTGTCGATGGCTCTGCCGGGGCATCCGAACACCCACAAAGAGAGTCCGGTGGCCTGAAAAGAAGGTGACAGGGGTGTCATTGCTGTGGTGTCGTGGTACATTCGCCTGACTTGTGTGTGAGCAGCGTGGGATCGGTTCCCACTCAGTGACGGTGTCAATGTGGGTGTGAATGGTGGTTTCTCTCTATATGTGCCCTGTGACTGACTGCCGACCAGTTCAGGGTGTAGTCCGCCTTTTGCCCGAAATCAGCTGGGATGGGCTCCAGCACCATCCCGCAACCCAGTTCAGGATAAGCGGTTAGGTACTCTACCGTATGTGTCTATGTGTGTCGATGGATAGGTGTGTGTTTATGCAGCGTCCTCGTCATTCGCCCCTCGGGCCATGAGATGTTCCGGTAATTTCACGTAACTGTGAAGAACCCAGAAAAAATGTTCACCAGTCGGGCGATCGCTCACTATGCTCATGTTTGCCTTGGACATTTTCCAAGGATTGTTAAAAGCCGACAAAAGCAGACGTCCTTTGCTCAGTTCTTTACAAAACGTCAGAAAAAAAACACTTCTGAGAGAGAACATGAACTAAAGAGGGCAAAAAACGATGAGGACGCTGTTAAAAGTTAAATGACCATCATTTTTAGTCTTTATTCTTTGCTTTTTTTACATTATGCACAACTCTCATTTATTTTGCAATAATCTCATTGTAACATGCATTTGTTACATATTTTGCCGCATTTTTATGCTTCAAAAAACATTTATGTCAGAATTTTGTTGGGGCTTGGAACGGATTAGGGCATTTACATGGAAAACGCGTCTCAACTTACAACTTTTTCTAATTAAGAAATTTCTTCCAGAACCAATTAATTTTGTGAGTAGAGGTACCACTGTATAGATAAATGCATTAACCATAGGATTCATCATATGAGTATTATTACATAAATCTAAAGAAAATGTGCGTTGAGGAACTGAGGACTGAGTTCCATATTTCTCAAAGATCAGTGGTCCCCAACCACCGGCCCATTTGGTACCGGCCGCACAGAGACAGACCAAGATCTTTTTTTTGTTTGTTTGTTTTTGTTTTTTTGTTTGAGCTAAGCGTCAGCAGCGATTGAAGTCCCGACAGTCCAACACCTTTGCATTTCTGTCTGTCATCTCACCATCGACCGCCCAATATTTTGTAATTGATCAGCGTTGAGAAAAGTCAATGCCCTTGTGACACCAAACATCATGAATTTTCATTTCAGGAAATATTAAGAGGGAAAGCTTGTGTCTCAGCAATAAGAGGGCACAAATGAAAGTTGTTGGAGTCCTCTTTGTACCCACCTTCAAGTTCTTCCTTCTCATAGTGGATGTTCAGCACTGAGCTGGTCCCACCCTGGTCTATCACCACTTCTTCATCTGGCCGCTGAATGAAAGACAAACACGCACAACAACAATGAATCCTAATGAATAATGTTTCTGAGAGCTGGCATTCAGGGCATTGAACATGTACACTTTTTTTTTTCTTTTTTGCTGCCAACTTGTGCATCGAAAATACCGCGCATCCCCAAGGTCACAACCTCATTCCATTTTCGGTTGGATAATCGATATGCTAATACTGTAAGTAGAGCTCTGAGTGTTTGTCTGAGAACGCAATGTGTGGATACGAAGAAAAACAACATTTGGAAGTGAAAGCAGACAGATGAGGAGTTGGATGACCTTCAATCAATTCCACATTAGTGTTTGATCTGACCACACACATGCAAATGTAACTCTGTCAAGCAGCATGTTCTCACAAGAATTTAGAAGAAGTTTGCCCAACAAAAACAAGTCATCTATTTATAGCTACATTGTTCAGTTCAACTATCCACTTTTTAAAAAAACCATACTGCTACAAGGCACTCCACAGAAAGCATATTTTTAAACCAAAAAATCCTGGTTGAGGTGGTTCGATACAGAAAGTCATACTTATTATTAATAGAATGACACAAAATGAGTTACTATCATCATCCACAACAGGTGTCAAACCTTTGACCCTCTGGTGGCTAAATCAGGAGATTTTTAGACTAAACTACCAAAATTCAAGAGCGCAGGCCTATTTCATGCGGTTTGTCAAAGTCATTCTTCATTCCGCTATTAAATGAGGAGCTAATGCACTGCTCACCGGGTGCAATGTTCACCATGTATCTTCCTCCCAATGTCATTAGCAAGGCTTGTGAGTCTGAATTAGTGAGGAAATGAGAATATTTGAAGCTGTCGCTTTTAAACCTCAGTGGAAAACATGCTTTCTCATCTATGCCCGACTTTGTCCCAAAGAGAACCGTGTTTAAAAAAGCCATTCATTGGAGAAGCCATGCTGAGGCCAACCACTGATTCGGAGTTTTAATATTCAAGTTGGTGTAAGTAGGGGGTGAAGTGTGAGCAACGACTAAAACGACGGACTATGAAATATGTTCTCTCACCAAAATAGAATTGTGCAGTTAACCCAGCGATGCCGCGAAAAGCACGCCGCTCAGCTGAGGATGCTCACTTGCAACACGCGTCATGTGAAGTGCGCTCTTTTTAACGACGCTGTTTTCATTGGCTTCGAATTTTCATTGCATAGAATGATCCTCTACGGTTCCGAATTCAAACTATTAGAGCTTGCAAGTTAGTCATATCTTGACTGCTTCATTTCTAAATGTATTCTCATGTTATGCCGAGGCAAACAAATTCAAGCATTTTCAACTCAGGCTCCAATTTGTTGAGGTTTTGTATAATCCTCACGTCTAAAAGTTCTAGCCGGATTCAGAATTCCCTCTGGAGAAAATAGAAGAAAATATCAACACCGCAGTCAAAGGTGCTCACTCAATTGATTTGGGGAGTTGAGAAATCTGAGTAAAGCCTCGGCGAACGTCTATCTCTTGTCTAAAATAGACATGATGTTTCGCTCTCTCCCACACATATTTTGTGCGCACACCCCACACACACACACAAACAAACAAACAGTGCTATCAGTCATTGCAGCTGTGGCTGGTGAAGCAAAAGCCTCGATGCAGCGTGTGGGTTTGCGGCTCATGCTGCAGGCACCATTAGAGTTGGAGCTTTACCAAACATATCAACACCAAACAAGAGCAAGACGAGAGGGAGACTATGAAAGTTCTTTGTCCCAAAAATAGCAATGCACCATCAGATCGTCAAGTGCGGATTTATTTGGTTCAAACACACACACATGAAAGCCCCACGTGACCACGTTGCCATTTCTGATCTGTTGTTACTCCGCGCGCTACGATTTGCCTAATTGCATATTCACGTAAGCATTTTTGTTTTTCTTTCCTATCCGCAGGTTAATGGTACCCTATCATTCAGCACTCACCTCCCTCGTGTCACGTTTAAGCGCTTGCACATAATTAGGGGCTGGCAAGACACTCTAGAGGGTTTTCTCTCTGCAGGTGAGTACACGTACTTCTGCGAACACATGCACACGTTTCCACGGACGGGGCACATCCTGTGTGTGTCGGCTGCCTGCTTCTATCTCCGGGCAACCGACCCTTTGCTACGCCGTTGTCCCTGAACTACAGTGACACGCGGCCGGGGAAAGTTGATGATTCTAAAAACTCATTCTCCATGCAGATTAGAGACACTCCTCCATGAAAAGGGCAGATGCAAAATGGCTGCCTTGTCCTTGCGTCTCCTTCAAGTGCCAGAGGAAGTGGAAAAGAGATCATGTGAGAAGAGGCAAAAGAAAATCCTGTCATGTAGCGAGAAATTTGTTTCTCTGAGAAGAGACACAACGGTGCTGGACTTTGTACATTCATAGATAATCTGTTTTACTGTGGAATGATGGCCATCATGGCTTTCAGATATGATTTGGGGACCCTTTGTAGCAAGTTAATAGCTCTTAGTTGTTGTCATGATTCTGTTCTTGCGTGTCTCCGGCAGGTGGCAGAGGAGGGCCTTCCCTCCAGCATGCACACCTGCTGCCAATGTTCATGTCAATGTGTTTAAGGACTGTCAAGCTGCCAAGCCTTTGTCTCCAAGTGTTGAATTCCCTAGACCAGGGCTGTCAAACTCATTCTTTTCGCGGGCCACATTGTAGTTACGGTTTCCCTGAGAGGGTCATCATGACTGTAAATTTGGTGAAACTGGATAAATGTTTAATCACCTCCACATATTACATAGTCAGTCCACAACACATTGGTGGATAACTAGTTTTCAAGCATAATGGTTTGCTCAGCCATTGTTTATGTTAATGTAATAAGTATGTAACGAGATAATGCTTGCAATATCTTAAAGTTATGATGGATTACATATGACAATTTGAAATTATAGTTCAGACTTTAGCAAGCATAATAGAAAAGTTGACATGCTTGATTTGCTTTCGTGGGCCAAACACAATGAGGTGGCGGGCCAGATCCGGCCCCCGGGCCGTGAGTTTGACACCTGTGCTCTAGACGATCTTTTTTGTTCACGCCACGTATTTTCTCGCCTCATTTTTGCATTCTTCATAGGAAGTATTTTTGTTGTTCAGCTTAATCTCGGTTTCGTATCCTTCCTGTTTTGGCTATCTTGTCTTTTCACGACAAGCTATTTCCGTTTTTCTTATTGTTTTGCAAGCGTTTTTGGTTAGTTTTGTTTTTCCCTGGTTATTGTGCCTAGTGACATTTGTCGTACTTTGTCGGTCTTGCCTTTTTTGTATTAATAAACTGTTTTTGTTCAATTCCATCTGAGTCCACGTTTTGAGAGTCCGATTCTGTTCCGGACCCTTCTGGAACCGTAACAACTGTGTGAGGTATGGTTTATATGTGTTTATAACGCTTTTTGAGAAGAGAAACTGGTTTGTGTTTTGTATACGGCATGGCATCTTTCATGAAGCAACACCACATTAAGATGGGATCACATTTTATGAACATTTCCTGGATAAAAATCCAGCTAAGTCCAAAGGGTTTGACATTGTATATGCACACAGACACTACATAAATACTAGTGGTAGCTAGGCTAAAAGAACAAATAACACAGAATTCTCAACTTCAATCGCCATTCACGTACAAAAAGAAGATAACCATTCCCAAAATATAAAAACGACAAAACACTCAAGTGATGACACGGCTTGTGCTGGAGTCTTACTGTCTTAATAAATTCTTTGAGCACTGTGAAAACAACGGTTATAACTCCTTCGACGTGTTAAAAGCCCAAAATAGACTGGCGGTATCATTCGCCTTTTGTTTAATAAACAAACTGATGTAAAAGATGTCTCTCAAGTGTCCTGCTATTTCGAATGCATCCCGGAAGGATGTTACGACTCTTACGACAGAAAAAAAAAAGAGCAGCCGTACACAGTGTCCTAGTTATTCAAGGATGCTGTTAAGCCACCATTTGATGCAGAGACACGTCCACGCCTAATCGCCACCATCACATTGCCAGGCTCTCAAAATGAATAAATAATAAAAATACATAAACATCGAATGAAATCTCATATTTTCCTTATTTAGATTACATCATCACACTATAAACAGAGCAATACCGATAACACTGTATCTTTTCAAGGACCGAAATGTATGTGACAAAAATCTTCACATCCAAACATCTTTCGAGAGCAATTCTTGACTTGAATTTCTTTTGTCACGCAATGAATAGATTAGAAGCAAGCTTGTCACACATCTGAATGTATGAATGTTCTTGTCATTGAGAGACATCGAATTTGTCAGGACAAATAGAGCAGCACTGATTTCAGTCGCACTCGCCCCCGACCAAACACCCCCAGCCCTCTTCCACTAGGCAGGTCAATCAATGTATTTTCCCTGTCGCTCCATTAGGGACTGCGGTGGCGTGAGGCATGCTGGGTGCCATGAAGTGCACGGCATTGCACATATTGCATCACGGAAGCTCATTTTTTGGTTTCACCCCCCCTCCCCCCCAGTCACAACAAACACTTCAAGTCCTTGTACTTTGTGTACAGCTTATGACAAATGAAGCATTGAAACTTAAACGCTCCAAAGCACTAATTAGCATCACCACTTCTACTCATCTATCTATCCATCCATCCATCCAGATTGATTATGACTCATATCTAAAAGCCAGTGGGAAAGTGTCTTATAGTGTTATGTGGAAGCCATAAATCCACTTTGGCAACTTGTCAAACAAAAGATGGAACGCGAGGGCATCCAAGGTTCATTTAAGACGTTAGCGTTGTGATGCACCGAACTTTAGAGGCAATATTATTCACTGCACTTATTGAACTTCAAAGTTTGTGGACTGTTTTGCATTACCTTGATTTTTGATTTGTGGATTGAATTTGAATGGACTGTTGTTTTGACTGCACAATGGGGTTTTTTTTCATTCTTGGAACCCGATCCTCCCCCCCCGCCCCCGAAAAAAAAACCTAAAACAAATAAAAACTCAACTAAAAAGGGAAGCATTTTGGAAAAAAAAAACTTTTTCTTCATACAGGAGACTGGTACAAAATGATTTATGTCACGTTATAAATTTACTTGACAACTCACTCTTTCACGATCTGAGTAACTACACATCGGGCAATGAAAAGGAAGACATTTATGCGCCAAAATCACGGACATAGATTTTTATGATCAATTTCACAAAGCTTAACAAATCTTCAATAAAGTGCACCGCTCATGTCACTTTTTTCCATTTTGTCCTCCTCTTTAGGTTTTATGTTCCATGTCCAAACCTGCTTTCCAGTTGATGTATTTCAATTGAATTTTCTCAAATAATTTTTGAGCGTTGAGCACACAGGTGTCAAACCCAAGGCCCGGGGGCCAGATCTGGTCCGCCACATCATTTTATGTGGCCCGCGAAAGCAAATCAACTTCCATGATGCTTACTCAAATTTGTACCAAAATTTCAAATTCTCATATGTAACAAACAATTGAGATATTGTAAGCTTTTTCTTGTGACAAAATCTCCCATTACAGTAACTGACACAACCGCTGAATAAACCGTTTTTCTTGACGACTTTTCTCTGGTTTCAGTCAGAACGGCCCTCCAAGGGAAACAGTAACTAAAATGTGGGCCGCTAGAAAAATGGGTTTGACACCCCTGGTCTAGCACGTAACATGCCCTTCCATTGCAAGTCAATGTTATGCTTCCCTTTGGCAAAAAAAAAAAAAAAAAAAGATTATGTAACACATCAAACTAAAAATAAAATTATGGTTTTTACACATTCTTATCGAAATTTGAGTTCATTATAGAAAGAATAGCAGCTTGATAACTAAATAGATAGACTAGCACATTACAATAAAAACTTCCTCTGGCAACAAGCTGACCCAACTGTATCTGGCAGATCTGATTCTGTTTAATTCAGCACTCGACAAACGTGTTTTAAATCAATCCGTGCGGACTTCTTCCACCCATCTCGTCTCAACGAAGCACCCTGGTTTGACAGCGGGGACGCAGATCTTGACTCAAACAACTGGACCTGTCACTTCCAGACCGAGGTTCGTGTCTGAGGACAACCATGACGGCCTCTCCGTGCCACAGCCACACACACGCACGCACGCACGCACGCACGCACACACACACACACACACACACACACACACACACACACACACACGCACACACGCACACACCTCACATCACACAATTACACACTAGCTGTTTGATAACTGCAGACGTGTGACAGTGGCCCGCTCATCAATACGTGACAGGATGTAACGGCGAGACAGGAAAGGGGAGAGCTGCCGTTCTAACGACTGCTTCAGCCCACAGGCAGAATGAGTCATACTGCATGCACCTCGCTCAAAGCCTCATGTTCCATTCGGCTCTCCAGCCTTCCACCTCTAATTGGTTTAGTTCGACGAAGATTAGTTTAGTTGGATTTTGTGGCTGCATGATGGATTGAAGCGGTGACTGAGAATTGGAGGAGTGTTAAAATACACTTCATTTTATGCGATATCAGTGAGAGGCAATCAGAGGTTATTCGTGTGCTTGGTACTGACAAAACTTGAGCATGTTTTTACAAAAATTTGTTTCTTTTTTTTTTGTTGTTTTGTTTTTTTTTTGGGGGGGAGGGCAGAAAAGATAATGCAAACTACAGACAGACAGGGAAACAAGATCCCAGATTTGAACTCCCCAACCTCAGAAGTGTAAGAGGGTTGTGCTAATCACTTGACCACGGTACCACCAGATGAAAAAACATGAATCAAAAATAGTACGCCGTAACGGTTTAGCATTTTTTTTTTTTTTTTTTTTTTGCAGTTGCATGAAAGTCAGCTTTGTGAACGATTCCATGACCAATGGCCCCCTTTGACTTACGGCTTCACTTGATTCGACAATTAGTACGGAATTCATTGCTGCAAGGATAAAATGATGAAGGATGAATTTATGGCTGGATGAAAGACAAACTATGCCTATGAAAAAGTTCCTTTGTTGCGGTACAGCGTCTTATATAAAAAAAAAAAAAAAAAAAAACTGAATGTCACTAGTGGCATTGTCCCATGCTACAGCAATGTTTTACATTTAATTCCAATTCCCAAATGTGCTGCATTAGCCCATCTCGGAGTCATTAAACTGATTAAAATGAAAGTTTATTGGGAGACGTGCCAAATCGTGGAGCTACTTTAAAAGGAGCAAAGAGCTGTGACAGCTGAGGTAATTAAAACGGGGGCAAATTTACAACGCATCATGCCAGATTGTAATTGATCGGAATGCAATATGCAAACCAGTACATTGTTTCTCTCTGAGCCTCACAGTGAATATTCTGTTGTTATTATTCAACCTAAAGTCAGTCCAAATTCATGTTACCGAAGTTTTATTTCTCTTATTTTTTTTTTTGTGTGTGAATGTACTCTACATTGTTTCAGTTCCACAGAGAGGCTTTCCTCTGACCTCATTTTCTAACACTCAAAAGCACGGTCTGATGACAACATTTGCTTCACTTGACTTGAGTGCTTTTTTCTGACTCTTGTAGTTTCAACTCCTGTGGAAGTTGAAGCAACGATACGATTGGCTTGATTGAGCCTAAGAAATCTGACGTCACACAACAATAGCAGCGCAGTGGTAAATGTGAAATCGAAATGAAAAGTAAATGCCAAAGTAAATTGACTTTTCATCACAAGTGCCTGCAATTCACCTCAAATGGCAAAGGACGTCATCGGCCGTGTTTGTTGTTCTGCTTTGAAAGGAAGTCTTTGGTCAGCTCATAGAGGTTCCCAGTGGGAAATTACCTACTTCCCAGCAGTCAGCGCTGCAGAATATGTTACCAAATATGGTTCCTCCTCCTCTAAAACAAATATTACCCCCACCAAAAAAAGCTATCATTATCATGCAAAGTAGTTCAACATGACTACAAATTATTGCCACAATAATAAAAACACATTATTCGGTGGTGATTGTTATGGTTGTTTGTCTATAGTTAACCTGTAATTAGATGGTGACTAGTCCAGGATGTACCCATAGTCGGTTGAGATAGGCAACTATAAGGGGGATTAACAGGATATTTCTATAAAATAGTTCCACACATGGATTTCAGTGGTGAGTTCACTTTTAGTTTCATCATCTCCTGACATATATTTCCAGGCTATAAAGTGACAGCATTTGTGATCATTGTCACGGCATGACAGTTCTGAACCACACTGAGTCCCTGCTAAAAGCAAATATGTTTGCTCAATTGGTTCTCCGCTTACGGGCCGTCCCTCGCATCAGCACCTGGCCGCAGCTCAGATCAAACATCATCACGCATCCTATCATGCAGCATGCTGCAGTATGCTTAAGAACCCCACTTCATCGTCCCACTGCTGTAATGACTAATAATCCGGACGCACATGCAGACGGCGGGAGAGAATGGCGTCAAGGTCATTTGAGGGTAATGTGAAACACACCACGACACGAGCCAATTTGGCCAATCGGCGTTTTTGCGCTGGCGACCACTTTTGCAGAACCTGATAATTAACGAGCATCCGTGACGTCACCGTGTTGCAACGCGATAACACCTGAATGACTTGAGTGCGTGTGGCACAACAACAATGTCCTCCGCAGCAGACAAGTTGGCGTCGGTTTTAAACTTATGATTTATGAGCATTTATTTTTGACATAAAACATTTAAAGGTGCGGTAAATCTTGATGGAGCAATTATGAAGTGTCCTTAAAAAGTTGCCGAAAAACATCTCATGAAGGTGACATGACTGGTTACCGGTTGTGCGCATGCAGGTTAATAGTCAACACATGCCATGCATGCAAAGCATAAAACACGCGGCAAACTGTACCTGGTAGCTTAGGATGCTGTCGGGTTCTTGGACGGGCATGTTGGTGGCCTTTGCTGTGACCTGGAGGGAGGTAAAGGTGACACTTTCTTCGTCTTGGACCTTCGCTCTGTTGCACAAGACGTTAAGAAGAAAACGCTCGAGAATTGGTCCCAGCGGTCACGTCGGTCTTTGCTAACATGTCGCGTGTCAACATCTCTTCCGGATGAGGAAAATGATATTGCACATCCTCCAAGTGTGATGCTTTCCCGGCCGCGCTTTGCAGCTCCCCCCCTCCCAGCGCTCTTGTGCCTGGTCCTGGCTGTGGGAACAGGATGCAGAGAGTCGCTGCGGGTCCAGCCAATCACAGCTCAGCATACAGGGCGCTGTTCAGCCTCAACCAATCGGAGCGAGGAAATCAGAATTCCAGCCAATGACAGGCCAGATGAATCGGACCGCTGCCACCTAGCCAAATAGAGACGATTAGAATCTTATTGATTCTTGTCTCAGAGTCAATTTACTGTAAATCACAATTAAGCTACTTGTATCGATCTTGCATTGCATCACATTACGTCTCTTATTTCAATCACAATAAATATCTTTACGTTATTATTATTATTCGCCATCCATCCATTTTCTGATCTACTTATCCTCACAATGGTCGCGGGGCGTGCTGGAGCCTATTATTATTATCATTATTATTATTATTATTATTATTATTATTATTATTATCCATACATACATTTTTTAATCCTCCTATCCGCACAAAGGTCGCGGGCCTGTTGTAGCCTATCCCAGCTGTCTTCGGGCAGTAGTCATCGTCATCATCATCATCATCATCATCATTAACATATTACACAAATCCTGTGATATCGAAGTAGTGCAACAGGTATTTTACCAGCAAATTTGTTTGTTACTCACTGTACATTTCATGAGCCACGCCTACAGAATCTAACCAAATGCAATGCAAGACTTGCATAAACTGCATCATGGCACCGAAATGTATTTAACAACTAATTTATTATTGTGGTTGGTGTTTGATTGCGTTAAATCGTATTGTGGGGTTTTCCATAATTGGGCCGACATTTTAGACATACCTCTCAGATGAAAAAAAAAGTTTTCTCTAGACTCATATTGAGTAATACGGAATAAATAAATATGAATCTCAAACGTTGTATACCAATTGTGTCATATTACTATGATGATTATGACAATACAATCATTCAAACGATTAGCTATTTATTAACCATGAGGTACTGTCACACTCACAACTATCCAGTACAGTGAAGAGACGGCAGAATGCAAAGACTGAGGGCGTTGCTGTCACCGTGCGTACAAATGTGGAATTACACAAAGTAGGACATCACATCCAGCTCATGCGCGTGTATGACGGTGACGAGAAATATTTGGCTTGAATACGTCCTGCGCGTTATTAGACGATCAGACGGGATTTGTTGTCACAGATGATGAGTTGACATTGAATCAGAAGGTGACCAACTGAGCAACTGTCAAGTTCGCACATGTGTCGCGCAGGTCTCACCGCAAGGGGAACACCTTCGATCCGAAGCCACGTGGCCCGATCCGGCTAATTGCGTAACAGTTTGGGGGTTTTTTTTCCCCCTCTTGGCTCTCTCCTCGAAGCTCCACTAACTTGCCACGGTGTGTGACATATTTCTGATAGCTGCTGTTAGTGTAGGCAAAAAGTAAGTCAAACGTGCATGGGTGGTACGGTTGCCTGGGTAACTTAAATCAGTGGGTGCAAGCACGGTTGTTATGGTGACAGTCTGTGGGCGCAATGAGGGCAGCAGGACGGAGGAGAAGCCCCACTGGATAAGTGACAAAGATGTTCATGTCGGACTCTGCGGATTTAGTTTCAATGCGTTTGAAACGGACAGAAAAACAGACAGATTTTTTTTTGTATGAATGTATTTAGCATGAAGCTCAATAATGATGTTTGCTTGTGCTTTCAGTGATAGATCCCGCTGTACCTCTTTCTGACCAAACAAAATCCAACTACACAGTGCATATTAAATTAATGGCTTGAATGTATTCTCGTCATACTATCACAACAACACACTTATTTTTAATTTGTCCCCATTTTAAAAACAGATTTTTTGGATTCAAAAACTCAACCCTGCAAAGAAATCCTGTCTAACAATGTCAGGTAAGAGCGACCTGCCGTGTTTTCCCCAATGACTTATATTTGCACATTTACACAATACATATTCATGATTCGCTATGCTCAGATTGACCTATTCGCAGATATTTATTTTTTTTGATGATGTTTTTAAAACTATATCCGTTATTCACTGAAAGCCCGTTCTAATATACTTTGAGAGCATTGCTTTAGTGGCATTTTGTGGCATTTTAGTGCCAAGGAACGATGTTAAAATACAATGAGGCGCTTCATGTAGTGTTGTGCCGGCATGTAAGTACCGGTAAGTCTTTTTCTATTTTACGGGGGTGAGGGTATATTGTATACTCCAGCTCAGACCATAGATTATAATCATCATCATAAACTCCAAAACTAAATTGCTCAATGAACAATAAGTCATATTCATGACATTTTCAACATTTTTACACCAGCAGAAAAGGTCTCTGTGCATCTTTTTATTTATCCTGCACAAGCTTGAACGTTCTTTAAGTGCTGGTTTGCATCAGTGAAATATGCAAAATCATTAGTTTGATAAATCACATTGCGTATCCCGAGAACACGCAAAATGAACTGTGCTGCAATTTTGCGCATTTGGCAAATGCAATCCTGGATGTGCTCATTTAGTAGATCAGCTTCAACATGCGTTTGAGTGAGCAATCAATTCTGCGCTCTTTTTTTTTTTTTTGCCTGTGCAAACATTTTCATAAATCCGGCCCTAAACGCTAACTTGACCTTTTTGTTCCAGACATGGTTCCAGTAGAGGTTAAGGCACGTTGTAGCTTTCCCTCTACCAAGCTGGAGAAGATGAAAGCAGCTAAAGCCCTGGTGGAGAAAGCAATCAAGGTCATGACAAAGACGGAATGAATCCACAGTACGGCCTCCGTGTAAACTTTACTGTATACTAACCGCCTCTGTTATCCCTGATGGCTTCAGGCGCAAAAAGTATTTTCAGTGCAGGGGCGCTATCCTGTGATCCGTGCCGGCTTACGGGCCAGAGGGTGGGTGGAGCGTTATTTGCCCAACGCAGGCCATGGAACGTCTCCCTGCCAGAGTGAGAAGGACAAGGAGGAAGATGATGCCAGTATTGGAGCATATAATTGCAGTGAGATAAAAGGTCAGTTTCATCACTTGTTCATGGAAAAAAAAAAAAAGACCCAAACGAGTCTTTTTTGATGGGTGATTCAATGATTTAGCGGTTCAATTTACAGGCAAACCCAATCCAGCCATTTCTTTTCAGACTGTTTAAGATGCGGGGGTTTCATCGCGCTTTTACAAATAGCATTCAACCTCTTTCCTGATCAAATTTCAGAGAGAGGGGATGACACTGAGCAAGATGACCTTGACGACATGTATGACTTCATGGTAAGAGAACGTTCGCATGGACCCCCCCAATATACCTCCCTTTATATCTCTTTATAGTTCACAGAATTTTAATTGTGTGTTGTAAATGTGTAGACTAGTGGCACACTTGTCAGCATACTTGGCTACGGCCTGTTGCGCCTTTTTTTTTTTTTTTTTTTTTTTGTGAGCCATCACATCTAAAACAAACAAACACACAAAAAATACTGGAAGCTGTGGTTGCCAGAAAAAAATAAAAAATATGTACCGGTATGGCAGCCTTAAATTTTACAGTAAATAACAACAGCTTTGTTCATTGAAAATCATGGTAAAAAATACAATATTGCAATTATTTGTACTGTAATTAACTTTAAAAAAACGAGTATCCATGGTTTTTTACAGTTACTTGTAAAACGATAGTTGGAATCTAAAAATTTTAGCAGGAGAATGATAAGCCCTGCTCTGGTAAATAACTACAATCAGAAATATGAATTTTTTGGGGAAATTCCTGGCAACCACAGCTGCCAGTGTTTCACTGCTAAAAATACAGTACCAGTACATGTGGCACACAACTGGATTGGTGTATATTTTACATTGTCAAATGCGAAATCTAGAACAATCTCCAAATAATTCTATAAAAAGTATGTTTCTTGATGTTACATGATATTTGTTTTTTTTTTAAAGAGTAAAAATCCTTCAATGGTTTTTCATAGTTTATTTATGAGATAGGAGAAATAAACATGACAAAAAATTCTTTTATATGCTTTCAGTGCCAAATTATTCATTGTAGTTGTGGTGAGTACATAAAAAGTAAGAACCACAAATTTATTAATGCCCCACCAAAAAAACCCCAAAAACTACAACTAAAACAAAAAAAGCAGTAACATTGAATGAACTTTTTTTTTTTTTTTTGCGAGGACTCTTTCCCTAAATACAGGAAACCTAAAAGGGCTGGCCAGTATGCACTGTCATACATAATAATAAAATGTGATCTAATTATCATGATTGAACTGTGGCAACCCTTTTTTTTTTTGTTGTTTTGCTGTGTGTAGTCTCGCCTGGTTCGAAATCAAAAGCCTTTCTTCTACTGGAGCCCACGCTACGATGCCACCCACTATCGTTCGCTTCAACAGGACCAAATCACCAACCACTATGCCAACACCGCAAACTTCACCACCAAGGTGTCCCCTTGAATTCTTAAAACATACCCTCGAAGACATGCGCGATGCATAACTTTTTGTAGACGAGTGCCAGTGACGGTATTTTGTGTTGCTGTTTGAGGTGGGTCTCTGTGTGAACCTGCGTAACCTTAGGTGGTATGACACTGCAGACCCTGACACCTTCTTTCCGAGATGTTACAGGCTCGGGGCCGAGGATGAGAGAGATGCATTCATCGGTCTGCTCAACACTGCCGTCACACTTGTCTGGCACAAGCAGACTTCCTTTTTGTTTCCTCAATATTTCCCGCGTGCTCTTTGTTCCGTGTGACCAAAAGAGGACTTCAGAAGGACGGCGTGCAGCAGTCTGCTGAAGCACGTGGTGGAGACGAGCATGAAGATAAATAAGCCAATGCAAGATGAAGAGGGGAAAGCCGAAAGCGCCGTCTCCGCAGGTAAAGTGGGTGGCTGAATGCTAAGTTTGACACGCGCAACAAAGAATGCGGCCATTTGCCACTGAGGCCGATGTTGTTTATCCCCCACAGTGAGTGCAGGAGTGATCAACACAGCCTTGCAGAGGTGTCAGGAGTATCTGAGTGTCTTAGCGCACAGCGACATCGATGTGACTGTGAAACCTTTGCCTTTTGTGGAGGAAAACCAATGGAATCACTTTCTGCAAAAGTACTACTTGGTTGTGCAGTGAGTGCATTTGAATACAGCTTTATGGGTTCAACACATTGATTCCTCTTAGTTAAGGCCTGTGATTGTCCAATAGGATTAATTATGCAGGTTCGTATTTTGTTTGGGGCTTTTGTAGTCTCTAATCTGCTTATCCTCACGAGGGTTGCGGGGCGTGCTGGAGTCTATCCCAGCTGTTTTCGTGGAGTACACCCTGAACTGGTTGCCAGCCAATCGCAGGGCACACGAAGACAAGCAACCATCCGCGCTCACACTCACACCTCGGGACAATTTAGAGTGTTCCGTTAGCCTGCCATGCATGTTTTGGGCATGTGGGAGGAAACCAGAGTACCCGGAGAAAACCCACGCAGACATAGGGAGGACATGCAAACGCTACACAGGAAAGCTGGAGCCGGAATCGAACCCTGCACCTCTGCACTATAAGACGGATGTGCTAACCAGTTGCTAACCAGTAACCGCCTCAAAGTGAATCTACAAATTGGCTAAATACTCTGGGTAGCAGCAAGTTTTAATCAAGGGTGGCTATATGTGTCCCCAAATGTATTTTTGACACAGATTTCAAAAATGTCTAAGCACAACAGGTTTTTGAGCCATCATATTTTCATTTTTTGTGATTGAGTTTGTTCACTAACAATGATAATTTAACTGTGTAGTAAAGGTGCATCGATCAGAAGTAGTGCTGGTTTTGTGGAGCGCTGCCAGGCCATGTTGGTCCGACTGAAGGAAGTGTGTCCTCAGCTGGACACTGATGGAGTCAATAACATCTGGATTATAAAACCTGGTGCCATGTCAAGAGGAAGAGGTGAGGCTTTTGTTCCTGCTCCATATTAACAGTTAAACTTTTTTTTTTTTTTTTTTAATTTAAAAAAGGCAGTATACAGCATAAGTATCCTGTATACCAGGTGTCCCCAAACCCCGGGCCACGGACTGGGACCGGTCCGTGGGTCATTTGGTACCGGGCCGCACTAAAAGAATAAATAACGTATATTACTTCCGTTTTATTCATTTCGGAATCTGAAAGATGTTTTATTTTGAAAATTACCAGATTCTCTGTTAGATCTGTCTGCAGTATGTCACGTTTGACGCGCTTCTCGGTCACGTGATAGGTTACCGCTAACATAAGTATCCTGTATACCAGATGTCCCCAAACCCCGGCCACGGACCGGGACCGGTCTGTGGGTCATTTGGCACCGGGCCGCACTGAAAGAATAAAAATAACGTATATTACTTCCGTTTTATTCATTTCGGAATCTGAAAGATGTTTGATTTTGAAAATTACCAGATTCTCTGTTAGATCCGTCTGCAGTATGTCACGTTTGACGCGCTTCTCGGACACGTGATAGGTTACCGCTAAAATGAAACCCGGGAGCTAGTAAAAATGAGTAAAAAAAACAAACGTCTTTGGAAAGTTTCTTTGGGTAGGGGAAAAGGCCCAGCCAGTAGACAGAAGAGGAGCAGACGACTTTCAAGAAAAAGGCTACATTTAATAGACAGAGTCAGGAGTCCGACTTAAAAATATGGATTTATCTCAACGGGAGATTCAAACACGTCTTTGGAAAGTGTCTTTGGGAAGGGGAAAAGGCCCAGCCAGAAGACAGAAGAGTAGCAGATGACTTTCAAGAAAAAGGCTACATTTAATAGACAGAGTCAGGAGTCCGACTTAAAAATATGGATTTATCTCAACGGGAGATTCATACACACCAAGCCCACTCTGCGTAATATGCGGTGATGGTGAGTCGTATTTTTCATGCACTTTGTATTTGTGGTGTACAGTGAAACTCCTCTAGAAAGAAACCTGCATGGGCGAAAATACCCCCTTATGTGAAAAGGCACCAAGCCCACTCAGCATAATATGCGGTGATGGTGAGTCATATTTTTCATGCACTTTGTATTTGCGGTGTATCTTATTTTGAAGGCACGTTTAAACGTGACAATAGCAACCGGAGAGCGTTGCGGACAGATAGGACGTGTCATGATTCGTATTCATTATTATGTTTAGAAAATACCACCGTTTTCATGCAGGTCACATATTATTTTGGTGTAAGGGCGGTCCCTGAAAAAATTGACATTAAACTGGTCCGAGGGGCAAAAAAGGTTGGGGACAGCTGGTGTATACAGTATTCAGAAACCCCAAATCCTAATAATCTAATCGAATCAATCTAATCTTTTCTTTTACATGGCACCATCCAGGTATTGTTTGCATGAATCGCTTGGATCAGATTTTAGCACTGGTAGACTCAGACAAAGCCATGGTGAAAGATAGCAAGTGGGTGGTTCAGAAGTACCTGGAACAGCCTCTGTTGGTCAATGGAACCAAATTTGACCTGCGTCAGTGGTTTCTCGTCACCGACTGGAACCCTCTGACCGTTTGGTTCTACAGGGAATGCTACCTGAGGTTCTCCACACAGCCTTACTCCACAAAGAGACTTGATAGGTCAGCCAGGACACGAACAATGAATGATTTTACATTTCATTTGTGAGAGTTTGAAACCATACGTGTGAATCTGGTCAATTCTACTTTTTTTTTTTTTCTCAAAAAAATCAATACTATTGTTCAGTCTCCTCATGGGATTGTTATTTTCACCTTTTTGAAAAGTGGACTTTTTATTTGAAAGAAATTTTCACGGTTTTCAAGTGAGGTAATGGGCGTTAACCATCATAAACGGTCATTAAATGTATCCAGCTCAACCATCAACAATACGCGCTATATGACATTTTATTTGTCATGTCATGTATTTTGCTGTTAACCGGAGAGCGTTGTGGACAGATAGGACGTTCCCCGTGTCATGATTCGTGTTTATTATTATGTTCAGACAATAACACCGTTTTCATGCAGGTCACATGATATTATTTTGTTGTAAGGACGGTCCCTGAAAAAATTGTCTGACATTAAACCGGTCCGTGGGGCAAAAAAGGTTGGGGACAGCTGCTGTATACAGTATTAAGAAACCCCAAATCCTAATAATCCAATCGAATCAATCTAACCCTTTTTTTTTTTTTACATGGCACCATCCAGGTATTGTTTGCATGAATCGCTTGGATCAGATTTTAGCACTGGTAGACTCAGACAAAGCCATGGTGAAAGATAGCAAGTGGGTGGTTCAGAAGTACCTGGAACAGCCTCTGTTGGTCAATGGAACCAAATTTGACCTGCGTCAGTGGTTTCTCGTCACCGACTGGAACCCTCTGACCGTTTGGTTCTACAGGGAATGCTACCTGAGGTTCTCCACACAGCCTTACTCCACAAAGAGACTTGATAGGTCAGCCAGGACACGAACAATGAATGATTTTGCATTTCATTTGTGACAGATTGAAACCATACATGTGAATCTGGTCAATTCTACTTTTTAAAATTTTTTTTTCAAAAAATCAATACTATTCTTCAGTCTCCTCATGGGATTGTTATTTTCCCCTTTTTGAAAAGTGGACTTTTTATTTTACTGAAATTTGCGCGGTTTTCAAGTGAGGTAATGGGCGTTAACCATCATAAACGGTCATTAAATGTATCCAGCTCAACCATCAACAATACGCGCTATATGACATTTTATTTGTCATGTCATGTATTTTGCTGTTACAGACGCTCACGGTCCTGAAAAAAAAATATTTCTGAAAAATGTCGAATAAGATCTTCATAGTTACATATAGAACGTTTAATTTGATTTGAATACTAATTTAAATTTAGTATAACGCTACAAGTTAGCTAGGTTAGTTGCAATGGTAACTGGTCAAGAACAAACTGAGCTCAAAAATGAGCTTTGAGCCTTGGTTTTCCCAAGTTGTGGTTGAAAGTATTGTAAAAATATGAAAAATAGACACAGATATGGTTAAAGCAATGAGCTCGGCGTCATTTTTTGCGAGTCATTGCCGTTTTTCAGAAAGCGCTCCAATTCTGGAATGAGCAATGTAGTAAGGACTGAAGTGTCATTTTAAATGAACGCTCACCATCATTGTCTCATCAGCTCGGTCCATCTGTGCAACAATGCCATCCAGAGGCACCTCCAGCCATCAAATGAGCGCCATCCCAGCGTGCCAAGGGACAACATGTGGTCCAGCTCCGACTTCAAAGCCTTTCTACAGCAGCAGGGCCGTGGGGCGCAGTGGGACAAGGTGGTGGTCCCGGGTATGCAACAAGCTGTGGTCCACGTCTTGCAGACGGCTCAGGACCAGGTGGAGCGCCGCAAGGCAACCTTTGAGTTATACGGTGCCGATTTCATGTTGGGAAATGATCTGAGACCTTGGCTCCTTGAAGTCAACGCCAATCCCACGATGGCCTGCACCAGCGTTGTCACAGCTCGCCTCTGCCCCGCCGTGCAGCTGGACACGCTGAAGGTGGTGCTGGACAGACGAAACAACCCCAACGCCTTCACGGGAGGCTTCCGGTTGATCTACAAACAGGTGATGAAGTACATCAGGCTTACGAGGCCAAGAAAATACTGTGTGATACGGCACAGAACATAACATAATATTTGGTACACCACTCAGTCTACGATAAGACTTATACAAGAGGCGTATCAAGAAAGACAAAAGTTAGTATGACCTTTTAAAAAAAAATCAATTTTCAGTGTATTTTTAAATTTTTTTAAAATCTTACAGCACTCACAAAGGTTAGAGAAATTTGGATTAAGTTTTGGGATGAACATTTATTTTTTTCTCCAATCTTTACAGGTGAACTATATTTGATTCTTTAAACTTTTGAATGGACAAAGCCAATTGTCACTGGCTATTCTCATTCATTTGGGTCACTCTACTTTGGGGCGTTGAATCAGTCGCAACTGGGCTGTTGTGATTTTCTTAGAAAACCTTTCCGCTTTCATCTGAGCACACACGCGCACACCACACACAAACAAACATACAAAACATGCACGCATACCCTGATGACGATTCAAAAAGATGTGGCAAGGCACAGAGAAGCCACATGAGGAAAAGAGAGCACCCAAGGGGAGTTAATCCATGCTGAGTGACAGCCGCCACACCTCCCAGGGTGGAGGCCCCCCAAGAGGACACGCGAGTGCTTAAATAAATAAATAAAAAGAATTAAAAGTATTAAAATAAGTTCAGAAGTAAGTTGTTCAAAAGCCAACATTAAGAGATGGTCAAATGAAGTTCACTTGCAAAGGTCCGAGTGCATTTTTAGGTCCATCTTAAAATTTGACAAAACTGAGAATATGAGAATTGTGAATATAGATATATCGATCTTGGACACACAATCAACAGAAGGGTAACTTATAATTTGGTCAATGAGCACACTATTTCTTTGTATTTCTATTTCTCGCCCCGTCAGCCTGCAGTTGAACCCCCACAATTTAGCGGCGTGAACCTAATAGTGGAAGGAAACCACATCGGGAAACCTAAATCTACAAAGCGCAGACAAAGGCTTCGTTCTACTCTGCCTCGCTCGACGCAATCCGCAAGAAGCCACACAAGTTCTTCCGAAGACAACGAAATGATGAGTAAACATCAAGTGAAGTCATGCGACAAGGCACAAGAGCAGCTTTCCCCGGAGAAGAGGCAGCAGACACCTCCTCCAAGAAGGGAACAACGGGAAAGAACAGTTGTTCGCAATGCCGGTTTGGTACCAGAACGACACGTGGTGGAGGACCACGCTGAACCCAGGAGGAGACCCCAGTGTTTGAGTGTGAATCGTGGTATCGGCGGAACTCCACTGGCCCAACGGAGCGTCCCCTTTTCTCGCACCACCCTCCCTTGCAGTGTTTCACTTGTATGTAAATCTCCAATTAAACCAATCCATGGAGCGCACCTGTGGAAGTCCTTGCTTCCCAGGACTTTTTACGAGCCTTGTTACCGGCCCCCAGTACGGGCAACTTCTTTCTGTCGGGATCAGCTCCCCATGCTGCGGCTCACAAGCATGCAGCCAAATATGCTGCCAAGCTATCGAAAACCTATGGAGACCTTTCAAATTGAGTCTAGTTATAGATTTTACAAGCAGCGTTATATGCAAACTATGTCCAGATATAAATGACAATGTACAGGAAGTGTTTTTTTTTTTCCTTCAAATTTGATCAAATGACCTTTCGGCATACGACACTATTAAATACTCAGGTAACTAATATTTTCTCTGCAATCACAATCTATAATAGATTTCATTAAAAGACTTGTACTTTTACAAAGATAATGCTCAAGTTTGATTAAAACTTTCAGAGAGGTATTACTTTTACTAGAATATCACATAATTGGGAATAAATGGAGTTTAATGATGTGGGCAACGCGTTAGTCTAATATTTCGTTTTTTTTTTTTTTTTTAAAAGAAACTCAACTGTATTTGTAGAGCACTTGAAAACAACCACCGCTGTATAGAAAGTGCTGTACACGGAGCAAAAACAATTCATACAACAAGAAATACAACAATAAATTGATAACAGACATTAGAAATCACAAAATTTGTAAAACTAAAAATGAAGTCTCATGCTGAGTCAAAAGCTGACGAATACAAAGCGTTGAAGGGATTGAGATAATGGAGGGATGAATAGGAATCCCATTTTTCAATCAGTGTCCTTCAGGTGTGTCAACACGGAACAAAACTAATACAAAGAAAATACAGGAGGAGACCCAGTTCCTAAATTAGAGAAAGACATACCGCAAACTACTACATTTTATAACACCAAAGAGGAATTAAAGCCTTGACAGTTTAAAGTGCAGCAATGTGGTACTTCACCATTTGCATTCCTGTCTGAGAGAGTGGCGTCACGAACGTGCCGTTTAACGATTTGACCACATAAAAAATAACAATGGACGGGAAGGGGAGAGTCGCATTTTCAAACTTGAAATCCAGTCGCTATTTTGAGTTCGTGTCAGCTAAAGAAAATATTAAGGTACGTTGCACAGTTTACTGTTGATAAAGCGTTATCTTGCTTGAAGTACGCCCTTACGAAAGAAAAATCTATTTTCCAATATATTAACTGTAATATATTTTATATATTTTAATATATTGTCAGTACATATATTTTACAATATATTATATATTGGCCATAATATATTGTTATATAGTGCAATATATTGCAAAATATACAAATGATTGCCGCTTTTCATATATTGCAATATATTGCGAAATAACTTACAATATATGCATTTATATAGTACAAAATATATGTAATTTTGTATTTATAAATAACTAATCATATATTGCAATTTATATTGGACAATATATTAGTGATATATGTAAAGATATATGATACAATGTATAAATATTATATGGGAATATATGTCACAACTACATACAGATACGTTTAATTAATATGATACAATACATTGTAAATACATGTGAATTATATGGAAACATTATAAAAATATATGAGCAATATTTTTAAATTAAACACAAAACACAAACTAATGGGTATATCAAAAGTCACCATATATTTTTCATCAGCTCAAAAACAAATTCTGACAGTGCAGAGGTAGAGGGGTAAATATTTTCAGTGCAACATTAAATGGTGAAGATTCTTAATAGAGGTTCTGCACCTTTTGCATCACTACAACACCCTTAACAAAATAACTGAGTGGATAACTAACATGATAACATAAATAGCATTTCTTTGTATTTCTATTTCTCGCCCCGTCAGCCTGCAGTTGAACCCCCACAATTTAGCGGCGTGAACCTAATAGTGGAAGGAAACCACATCGGGAAACCTAAATCTACAAAGCGCAGACAAAGGCTTCGTTCTACTCTGCCTCGCTCGACGCAATCCGCAAGAAGCCACACAAGTTCTTCCGAAGACAACGAAATGATGAGTAAACATCAAGAGAAGTCATGCGACAAGGCACAAGAGCAGCTTTCCCCGGAGAAGAGGCAGCAGACACCTCCTCCAAGAAGGGAACAACGGGAAAGAACAGTTGTTCGCAATGCCGGTTTGGTACCAGAACGACACGTGGTGGAGGACCACGCTGAACCCAGGAGGAGACCCCAGTGTTTGAGTGTGAATCGTGGTATCGGCGGAACTCCACTGGCCCAACGGAGCGTCCCCTTTTCTCGCACCACCCTCCCTTGCAGTGTTTCACTTGTATGTAAATCTCCAATTAAACCAATCCATGGAGCGCACCTGTGGAAGTCCTTGCTTCCCAGGACTTTTTACGAGCCTTGTTACCGGCCCCCAGTACGGGCAACTTCTTTCTGTCGGGATCAGCTCCCCATGCTGCGGCTCACAAGCATGCAGCCAAATATGCTGCCAAGCTATCGAAAACCTATGGAGACCTTTCAAATTGAGTCTAGTTATAGATTTTACAAGCAGCGTTATATGCAAACTATGTCCAGATATAAATGACAATGTACAGGAAGTGTTTTTTTTTTTCCTTCAAATTTGATCAAATGACCTTTCGGCATACGACACTATTAAATACTCAGGTAACTAATATTTTCTCTGCAATCACAATCTATAATAGATTTCATTAAAAGACTTGTACTTTTACAAAGATAATGCTCAAGTTTGATTAAAACTTTCAGAGAGGTATTACTTTTACTAGAATATCACATAATTGGGAATAAATGGAGTTTAATGATGTGGGCAACGCGTTAGTCTAATATTTCGTTTTTTTTTTTTTTTTAAAAGAAACTCAACTGTATTTGTAGAGCACTTGAAAACAACCACCGCTGTATAGAAAGTGCTGTACACGGAGCAAAAACAATTCATACAACAAGAAATACAACAATAAATTGATAACAGACATTAGAAATCACAAAATTTGTAAAACTAAAAATGAAGTCTCATGCTGAGTCAAAAGCTGACGAATACAAAGCGTTGAAGGGATTGAGATAATGGAGGGATGAATAGGAATCCCATTTTTCAATCAGTGTCCTTCAGGTGTGTCAACACGGAACAAAACTAATACAAAGAAAATACAGGAGGAGACCCAGTTCCTAAATTAGAGAAAGACATACCGCAAACTACTACATTTTATAACACCAAAGAGGAATTAAAGCCTTGACAGTTTAAAGTGCAGCAATGTGGTACTTCACCATTTGCATTCCTGTCTGAGAGAGTGGCGTCACGAACGTGCCGTTTAACGATTTGACCACATAAAAAATAACAATGGACGGGAAGGGGAGAGTCGCATTTTCAAACTTGAAATCCAGTCGCTATTTTGAGTTCGTGTCAGCTAAAGAAAATATTAAGGTACGTTGCACAGTTTACTGTTGATAAAGCGTTATCTTGCTTGAAGTACGCCCTTACGAAAGAAAAATACATTCCTGTCTGAGAGAGTGGCGTCACGAACGTGCCGTTTAACGATTTGACCACATAAAAAATAACAATGGACGGGAAGGGGAGAGTCGCATTTTCAAACTTGAAATCCAGTCGCTATTTTGAGTTCGTGTCAGCTAAAGAAAATATTAAGGTACGTTGCACAGTTTACTGTTGATAAAGCGTTATCTTGCTTGAAGTACGCCCTTACGAAAGAAAAATCTATTTTCCAATATATTAACTGTAATATATTTTATATATTTTAATATATTGTCAGTCTATATATTTTACAATATATTATATATTGGTCATAATATATTGTTATATAGTGTAATATATTGCAAAATATACAAATGATTGCCGCTTTTCATATATTGCAATATATTGCAAAATAACTTACAATATATGCATTTATATAGTACAAAATATATGTAATTTTGTATTTATAAATAACTAATCATATATTGCAATTTATATTGGACAATATATTAGTGATATATGTAAAGATATATGATACAATGTATAAATATTATATGGGAATATATGTCACAACTA